CCCCAAAACCCCAAAACCCCAAAACCCCATTTGTAAATTAGTACCTATATTTAGGGTAATTCAAATTATGTGAAAATTATATCGCTATATTAGTTGATTAATCAAACACTTCAATTAGACATACTTAAAGACTAGATATCTAATTTCTCAGGCTATAAACTAAGCACGTCATCTATATCATCTTCATCATCCTCATCCATTCCCCTATAGTTATTTTTATCATTAAGTATTTGATGGCTACTGCTCTTAGCTATTTCATGCTGCTTTATCTCAGACCTATTAAGTTTATAGAATAAGTCATCTCCTCCAAAAGTTTATTAGTGGGATGCTTCCAGCTATGCTGATCGCTCTGTTATAGCTTTAATCTCCCTTTCAATCTATTGTTCGTCCATACTCATTCTTAAATCGCAATCACTTATGTTTATATTTCTCAACTCTGTGATGTTCATCCTAGATTGATTTGCATTATTAGACGATAAGATTTGATTATTATTGTTAAACTTAATGTTCTGATTTGATAAGTTTATTGAGTTGTATGATTTCATAGGATTTGATAAATCAGATTGATGAGTTATATTAGTAGTGTTTAAGACTTTTGGCTTTTGCTATACCATTTATAAAGGTGCGCATATAGTGTTTGGGTTTTTGTTTTGATTCTATATCTTAGATTAGCCTCCTATATTTTTCAACTCTTACTACTACTGTAATCTTTCTTTATTAAGAAATTTATCCTCCTCTAGCCTAGTACATTTTTGAATCAGATCAATATTCTGCTAGGCCATTTGATGTATCTTATTTTCAAGCACTTAAATTTTCTGTTTGAACAAGTCTATATTTTGATTTTCACTTTGAGTTTCAATTAAGATCTTAATATGTCGCGTTAGCTCTCTGTTGTCCATTTCCAGTTGTATGCATTTATCCTTAAGATCTCTGACCCCGCTGTCGTTACCAAGTACTCGATCAAATTCATCTTATAGCTATTTGATCTTTGACTCATATTGTTAATTTAATTTCCTAAGACTATTCAATCGTTCTGTGTGTCCTCTTAATTGTTATTCCAGTTCTTTGCAATTTTTCTCCGAGTTTAAGAGCTATTAAGTTAATTTGCTAGATTTTTTAATAGCCTCTCTTAGTTGATCTTACTAGTTTTTAAAGGATACTTGCATTTCTAGGTTTTAATGTTCCAGCTCAATTCTTCACTTTTCCACTTCATTTATAACTGGTACTCTTTCCTCTATTTTCTTTTTCATTTCCTCAAAAACTTGTTCTAATTTAGTCTTCTCGTAAGTGACTATTTTAAGTTCACTCTCTAGAGACATTATTTTCCCCTTCAAGTTTTAATTATCTCTGAGTAAATCAACTCTGTCTAAAACATCTTTAAACTCATTATAGGAGTTGATTTGTGTTTATAGTTCAATCACCTACTTTTAATACTTTCTTTTTTCTAGTTCCTCGTTTTTCAGGGTTTCAAGAAGTCTGTTAAACTTTACCGTAAGAGTTGTCAACAAATCCTCGGCTGATTAAAAATTATCAGTATCTTGAAATGCTCTGCATAGGTCATCTTGATTGATAAAGATATTGGTATGATCGTCAAGCATATGGAAATCATTTTAAGAATTGATATCATGTCTATAGTAATCCAGCATAGTAGTTTGATTCTCACTGTCATTATCATGCAAATGAGAGAATTTAATGGAGCAAGCGTCAGGCTGTACCTATTGCTAAGTGCTATTCAAAGACATTGATTGATGGCCTTGACTATGATAATAAGAGGAACTTACTGACTTCCTCCTAGCTGAAACTATCTTCCCTGCATTCGGATTTACTCCTTATTAGAGATGTCTTGGAGAGATAGCTAAGTTTTATAGTTTAATATTTTGCTTCATTATATTTATGCTAATTTAAATTTGATAATCAATTTAAACGTTCAATTAACATTAATAATCAATCAGGCTTCTTATAGCATTTTGATATTTCATTTTTATCTGCTTTGCTGGGACATGCGTTTCATTGTTGAGATCAGAAATCCCTCATGGATCTTCTAGGTGTTTCCTTAAATCTTAAGATTGTCTCTATTTGCAGCCATATTCTCTTGGAGTTTCTTTAACTCATCAGTGAGCATCTGTCTTGCACTGGCATTCTTAAGGAAAGACTGATATTCCAAATACTTTTGCTACTGCTATGAGGATTACAAGCGATCTGGACTCTGATTCAGTTACTTTTGACTTGGTATTGGCTGAAGGAAAGGTTTCATTTCTTGCTTGATTTGCATCATCATCAGATTGACATAAGGCACTTACTCCTGCGTCTTAACTTCTTGATCCTGAGACTTATATCTTTTAGTGGACTAAGTTGATTAAGTCATTGTGGGACTTCCCTACTTTTACACTATTTGCTATAAGTTCTTCTCCAATCTAACCTGGCTAGTTTTTCTTTTCGTTTGGTTAGCAGTTTGAGAATCTCCACCGCCGCTGTTATAATCATTTTAATTGGTAGGCGATTTGTTCTTCTGTTTTATAGCCAATGTTTTCTTGAGATCGAGTAAATACCCTGCCTTTGGTGAGAGTTTCTTAGGCTTGATTTAAGCTTTTCTTTCATCGTCACTCTTGCTTTGCAGTATAATCTTCTACGTGCCTAAGCCCTTCCCAGATTTAGATTGTTTCAATGTCATATTCTGGACAGCTTCAGTCAGCTGTTAGGCTAAACTCTTAGGACTTCTAATATAGGGCTAGTTTGTTTTATAAGGAATGGAGGAGGTTTAATAAGGATTGAAGTCTTATTACAAGGTAGCTCCTGGGTTCGGCTTAGAATACATTTCACTTGGATTTACTATGGTCTTAGGGAGTTAACTCTAGGTAAATTTAAGAGGATTAAGCTATTTAGGGGATTTACCGAAGAGTGCCTAAGTCTTTGCTTGAATACTTGTACTATTATCCTAGATATTTGTTGAAAGAGTATCGGAGATGCTGGAAATTTGTCTATTATGATTAGTAGCACCAGGTTTCAGCCCCTCTTAGCTTTGATAATCTGGGGAAGGAGATTGAGAAGTTTTATCAGATTTGTAAGACTTTTTTCTTTACTAGGCTTGAGATCCCTAAATGATAATTCTCACCTTCTCCTGCTACTTTAAAGCCTTTAAGTTGTTTTTATTCGGATTATTATTCTTAACTTGAATAAAGTTAGAATTATTCTATTCGCTTTCAGGAGATTTATTAACTTTCCTTCCTGCTTTAGAATTCTTAACACTAATAGATTCATTAGTCGCAGTCATGTTAATAGTAGAGAGTATGACTTCAGTCGGATTGGAACCCAGAGTAGTTTAATAGGGATTCTAATTGGTGTTATTTCTGTCTCTAGTCACACTCTTAGCAGTCTAGATCAAACTTCTATGCTTTTGTTTCATTCTAGGCTGTGTTTCATGCTGCTTAATATTGGCTTGCGACAGATTTATGGCTTTGCCGCTGTTGTTCTAATCTTAAGGGGTTTCAACCTCCTTCACAGGTGAAAGAATTGCCAGGCTTTAGTAGTGCAGAGGGTAGTTCTGACGAGTGAGGCATTTGATGTTTCTCTCCAGACTGCTTCCGTTTGAATCTGGACCTTGAACAGGGTAATAGTCACTTGCCACTAGCACTGTCTTTGCATGTATGTGCTTCATGTCAAGTCTTGAATCAAACCCTGAATGTATCGTACCTATAGTCTCCTCATTAACCTCTTCAACGTTGAGATTAGTCTCGTCATTATACGCATCGTAATCAATGGTTGTTTGATTTACACTAAACATTTATGATCGAATGAACCTGTCATCAAACTCAGTGACTTGATTCTTTTCCTCCTCTTCCAATTGTTCTTAGTTTTTCTCTGAAATATTGTATAGCTTTTTCCGGTAGATGTTGTAGTTGTATACTTAGTTTGTAATTACAAGGTTTATGTTCGCTTTTTCTTTGTTGATAGCATAGTTTGATTTTTAACTATTTCTTCGTTTACTGATTGTGATTAATTCATCTGGTACTGATGGAGTCATAGTAGGTCTTTCTTCTTACTTCTCAGTTGTTAAGATTGTTACAGCTAGTATAGTAGCAAAGGCCTAAAATCATATATACATTAAATAAAGTGAAACTCTTACCTTAGTGAGTTTCTGATAAGCATTGATAAGTTTGATCTTTTTATTGAGAGGACTCTCAGGTATCGGATTTTCAAATTCTCTGCTCAACCACGGATGCTAAAGAATCTCCTCAGATTTATATCTCACACTTTGAGATATGCTTAGCAAATTTTCCATGAGTTGTATCGATTTTATATTTAAATTTTTTCGCTTGACAGGCTCACTCTCTCTGATTACAACTTTATGAGTATCCTTGACAAAGTATCTGTATTGATCTCTGTAATCATCAGAACCTTTTCTTAAAAATCTCTCTTTACTAATACCCATCATTTGCAAAATCGGATGCTCTCCTTTTGTTAAAAGCTCAAATATTATGATGCCTGAAGCCCACATGTCAACTGCCTTCGAATATTGATTAGTTGCAAACAACTACTCAGGGGCTTGATACAACAATGTGCCACATCTTTGATCTTCATTATCCTTGCCTGCTCTTATGGCCAATCCAAAATCAATAATCTTGACTTTTAGTGTCTTCCTATCGATCACAATATTTTTAGGCTTCAAATCCCTATGTATCAAATTCTTAGAGTGCACATAGTTCAGTCCAGTCAGCACCTGATTCATTATTTGTGCACAGCGATCATCCCATTACTATGTGTCCTCTTCTTCACCCTCTGAATCCATTTTGTTTTTTTAGCGCTTCTTTATAAATTTTTCTAGTGATATACCCTCTAGTCTCTCCAATCCCAGGAATGCATAGTCATGATATACTTTGAACTATATTAACTTTTATCGTTAGTTTATTACGAACTTAAATTCAACGATGTTGGGATGCCTTAGCTTTTCTAAAATTTTGGCTTCCTTCTTCAAAGCTGAGAACTCAGAATCATTACCTTTTTTAGCTATCTATATGAGATATTCAAAATGGTGATTCAATAAATATAAGAAATAATTACTTTCAAAGCCACCATCTCATTTTTATACTTATCGTAGGCTGAAACGACAATGCCAAATCCTCCTTTGCCAAGAAGTTCTTTGACTTCAAAGTAATGACTTAGCCTGTATATGACTCCGTCGTGCTCCTCAAGTATGATATTCGCAATTTAATCCATTTAATTCTGTATAACTATTTATTTTGATAACTTGCAATATTTTGTTTACCTAATATCAATTCAATCATATATGATGGGGTTTTGGGGTTTTGGGGGTTTTGGGG